TTCCCGTAAAAACTTTCCTATGGGGAAAAAGTGGAATTTTCCTGCAGGACTGTGTCTGGGTAAACGAGAACTTTCGATTGATACCCATTTTTACCATAGCACCACTTTTTTGTCTGTACAAAGGCGATTTTACGGATATTTTACGAGTCTAGGGGGCTTTACGGGCCTTAAACGTCAATGCAACGGGGACCGTTTTGGGGAAAGTTTCTCGGCTGGTGGTGGGGCACCTGTGTGCCGATTTTGAACGAAATCGGGGGGGGGACCCCCCATTGACCTAAAATTTTGATTTTCCCGTAAAAACTTTCCTATGGGGAAAAAGTGGAATTTTCCTGCAGGACTGTGTCTGAGTAAACGAGAGCTTTCGATTGATACCCATTTTTACCATAGCACCACTTTTTTGTCCGTACAAAGGCGATTTTACGGATATTTTACGAGTCTAGGGGGCTTTACGGGCCTTAAACGTCAATGCAACGGGGACCGTTTTGGGGAGTTTCTCGGCTGGTGGTGGGGCACCTGTGTGCCGATTTTGAACGAAATCGGGGGGACCCCCCATTGACCCAAAATTTTGATTTTCCTGTAAAATATTCCTATGGGGAAAAAGTGGAATTTTCCTGCAGGACTGTGTCTGGGTAAACGAGAGCTTTCGATTGATACCCATTTTTACCATAGCACCACTTTTTTGTCCGTACAAAGGCGATTTTACGGATATTTTACGAGTCTAGGGGGCTTTACGGGCCTTAAACGTCAATGCAACGGGGACCGTTTTGGGGAAAGTTTCTCGGCTGGTGGTGGGGCACCTGTGTGCCGATTTTGAACGAAATCGGGGGGGACCCCCCATTGACCCAAAATTTTGATTTTCCCGTAAAAACTTTCCTATGGGGAAAAAGTGGAATTTTCCTGCAGGACTGTGTCTGGGTAAACGAGAGCTTTCGATTGATACCCATTTTCACCATAGCACCACTTTTTTGTCCGTACAAAGGCGATTTTACGGATATTTTACGAGTCTAGGGGGCTTTACGGGCCTTAAACGTCAATGCAACGGGACCGTTTTGGGGAAAGTTTCTCGGCTGGTGTTGGGGCACCTGTGTGCCGATTTTGAACGAAATCGGGGGGGGGGGACCCCCATTGACCCAAAATTTTGATTTTCCCGTAAAAACTTTCCTATGGGGAAAAAGTAGTATTTTCCTGCAGGACTGTGTCTGGGTAAACGAGAGCTTTCGATTGATACCCATTTTTACCATAGCACCACTTTTTTGTCCGTACAAAGGCGATTTTACGGATATTTTACGAGTCTAGGGGGCTTTACGGGCCTTAAACGTCAATGCAACGGGGACCGTTTTGGGGAAAGTTTCTCGGCTGGTGGTGGGGCATCTGTGTGCCGATTTTGAACGAAATCGGGGGGGAGGGGGGACCCCCTATTGACCCAAAATTTTGATTTTCCTGTAAAAACTTTCCTATGGGGAAAAAAGGAATTTTCCTGCAGGACTGTGTCTGGGTAAACGAGAGCTTTCGATTGATACCCATTTTTACCATAGCACCACTTTTTTGTCCGTACAAAGGCGATTTTACGGATATTTTACGAGTCTAGGGGGCTTTACGGGCCTTAAACGTCAATGCAACGGGGACCGTTTTGGGGAAAGTTTCTCGGCTGGTGGTGGGGCACCTGTGTGCCGATTTTGAACGAAATCGGGGGGGACCCCCCATTGACCCAAAATTTTGATTTTCCCGTAAAAACTTTCCTATGGGGAAAAAGTGGAATTTTCCTGCAGGACTGTTTCTGGGTAAACGAGAGCTTTCGATTGATACCCATTTTTACCATAGCACCACTTTTTTGTCCGTACAAAGGCGATTTTACGGATATTTTACGAGTCTAGGGGGCTTTACGGGCCTTAAACGTCAATGCAACGGGGACCGTTTTGGGGAAAGTTTCTCGGCTGGTGGTGGGGCACCTGTGTGCCGATTTTGAACGAAATCGGGGGGGACCCCCCATTGACCCAAAATTTTGATTTTCCCGTAAAAACTTTCCTATGGGGAAAAAGTGAAATTTTCCTGCAGGACTGTGTCTGGGTAAACGAGAGCTTTCGATTGATACCCATTTTTACCATAGCACCACTTTTTTGTCCGTACAAAGGCGATTTTACGGATATTTTACGAGTCTAGGGGGCTTTACGGGCCTTAAACGTCAATGCAACGGGGACCGTTTTGGGGAAAGTTTCTCGGCTGGTGGTGGGGCACCTGTGTGCCGATTTTGAACGAAATCGGGGGGGGACCCCCCATTGACCCAAAATTTTGATTTTCCCGTAAAAACTTTCCTATGGGGAAAAAGTGGGATTTTCCTGCAGGACTGTGTCTGGGTAAACGAGAGCTTTCGATTGATACCCATTTTCATGGGTGGAGAACCTGCCCCGGCCACCCCGGCCGTGGCCGGGGTAACTTTCAGCCTACCCCGGCGCGGCCGGGGTAACTTTTCTACTCTTGTAAATCCTAAAAGCTGTCTCCATACGAGAAAAGAAAACTCACGCTCTTCGAATGTTGACTTCCATGGGCGTAATATTGCAAATCAGGTAGGTATTTACCATTTACTTAACTTGCCATAATCTCCAACCCTAAGACCCGCGTGTGGTCGCCAATGCCAAGATTGCTCTCAAATCCTGTTCAGTTTCGAAATTTTGGCGCGCCTTCGGCGCACTTTTTCAAAACTACTGCTTGACCTCATTGCCTCCAACTGACCTGCCACCAACCGCAACCACACCCGTTTATGAGCGTACCCGTCAGGGTGCTCATAAACACCGAGCGGCCATCATGCTTCGAACTCGGACTGTTGTAACCGGGCCGCGTGCTCTCGCCACGCGGAATCCAACGCTCTAGCAACTGAGCTACGAGACCGGGACCGGTCGATATTCCTGGATCGACTCCCTGTTTGTATTATAAGAGCCGCCCAACATTGAAAAAGGCTACGCCCGTGGATGTCAGTGACCTATTTTAGTGCTTTGCTTGGTTCGATCTGTCAATTTCTCTGTAAAGCTTCTACTTTGGTGAGTTGTCTTTTTGTAGCTATTTTGAGACACAATAAAAAGCTGAAAACGCAACATTTAGGTACTCAAAATGGCATATGGTTTGGTTTGGGTTCGGTGTGAAATTGGAAGTTTAAGTAAAAAGAAATAATAATTTAAAAGGAAATTGCCTTTTCGATCATTCCAAAAATGTTATGAATAATACGGTGTCGGATACAACGCTCATCCTTGAGCAAACACAGCACCCTATTCCATGCGTCAGAATAGGGGTTTGATGATGACCGTTGAGAACAACGTGAGTATATCGTCTTCCCGCGACTATCGGTCGCCGGCCGGGGTAACTTTTTCAAACATTCTCCACCCATGCCCATTTTTACCATAGCACCACTTTTTTGTCCGTACAAAGGCGATTTTACGGATATTTTACGAGTCTAGGGGGCTTTACGGGCCTTAAACGTCAATGCAACGGGGACCGTTTTGGGGAAAGTTTCTCGGCTGGTGGTGGGGCACCTGTGTGCCGATTTTGAACGAAATCGGGGGGAACCCCCATTGACCCAAAATTTTGATTTTCCCGTAAAAACTTTCCTATGGGGAAAAAGTGGAATTTTCCTGCAGGACTGTGTCTGGGTAAACGAGAGCTTTCGATTGATACCCATTTTTACCATAGCACCACTTTTTTGTCCGTACAAAGGCGATTTTACGGATATTTTACGAGTCTAGGGGGCTTTACGGGCCTTAAACGTCAATGCAACGGGGACCGTTTTGGGGAAAGTTTCTCGGCTGGTGGTGGGGCACCTGTGTGCCGATTTTGAACGAAATCGGGGGGACCCCCCACTGACCCAAAATTTTGATTTTCCCGTAAAAACTTTCCTATGGGGAAAAAGTGGAATTTTCCTGCAGGACTGTGTCTGGGTAAACCAGAGCTTTTGATTGATACCCATTTTTACCATAGCACCACTTTTTTGTCCGTACAAAGGCGATTTTACGGATATTTTACGAGTCTAGGGGGCTTTACGGGCCTTAAACGTCAATGCAACGGGGACCGTTTTGGGGAAAGTTTCTCGGCTGGTGGTGGGGCACCTGTGTGCCGATTTTGAACGAAATCGGGGGGGACCCCCCATTGACCCAAAATTTTGATTTTCCCGTAAAAACTTTCCTATGGGGAAAAAGTGGAATTTTCCTGCAGGACTGTGTCTGGGTAAACGAGAGCTTTCGATTGATACCCATTTTTACCATAGCACCACTTTTTTGTCCGTACAAAGGCGATTTTACGGATATTTTACGAGTCTAGGGGGCTTTACGGGCCTTAAACGTCAATGCAACGGGGACCGTTTTGGGGAAAGTTTCTCGGCTGGTGGTGGGGCACCTGTGTGCCGATTTTGAACGAAATCGGGGGGGACCCCCCATTGACCCAAAATTTTGATTTTCCCGTAAAAACTTTCCTATGGGGAAAAAGTGGAATTTTCCTGCAGGACTGTGTCTGGGTAAACGAGAGCTTTCGATTGATACCCATTTTTACCATAGCACCACTTTTTTGTCCGTACAAAGGCGATTTTACGGATATTTTACGAGTCTAGGGGGCTTTACGGGCCTTAAACGTCAATGCAACGGGGACCGTTTTGGGGAAAGTTTCTCGGCTGGTGGTGGGGCACCTGTGTGCCGATTTTGAACGAAATCGGGGGGGACCCCCCATTGACCCAAAATTTTGATTTTCCCGTAAAAACTTTCCTATGGGGAAAAAGTGGAATTTTCCTGCAGGACTGTGTCTGGGTAAACGAGAGCTTTCGATTGATACCCATTTTTACCTCTTTGTGACGTCATTTCTAGGGGAAAACGGGTCATAAAGGTTTCCCTCTACCGGGGCCTTTTTTCCCCCTACCGAATCTGTGCTGTGCTGAATCTGTGCTGAATCTGTGCTAACTTCCGTTACATTAACTTGACGACCATGGAAAAAATCACTGACGTCGACGACGCTAACTTCACGATCATCACGACGTCCACTCTGATTGGTCAAGGGTTTTTGCATTACCAGCAACTCTCACTTTGATTAGTCAAGGATTTTCGCATTACGAGCAGCTGTCTAGAAAAGAACACATTCATTCGATCAGCAATCCTGCGCAGCTGCGACAAAATAAAAACAGGACCTAGACAAGTTGCGTTGCATTGGTTTTCTCGAGCTCAAGCTCAAGCTCAAGCTCAAGCTAGAGTGGAATGTTTTAGTCCTTCGTTTGATATTTTCATCGGATATCTTGATCTATTGGTGCTGATTGTGTTAACAATGATGAATGCTATGAGGAAATGTTATGGAATTCCATGCCTGGCCCTGAATACCATGCGACTTTCCACCTCTCAACTTATCAGGCAAGTGTATTTCAAGTTCTAAAAGGCTAATGCCATTCAAAGTTTGATTCCATTGATTGTGTCGTTACTCCTGACTTATCACTGCTGAGCTGACTGACGAACTGTAAGTGATGATGGTGATCAGCTTTGATAAGCTACCTATGCCTTTGTGCTTCGGCACTTCACTTGACTTGCTTGGCTGAATTGAATGAAATGCTCATGGCATTTGCTAGCCTCCCAGTAAACATGCCGACGTCGGGGTGACGTCGGCAACTCGGCATCAGCATGCCGACGTCGGCCCGACGTCGGTCCAACCTCGGCACGACGTCGGCTGGATGTCGGATATGCCCGCATGTTCCGACGTCCAGCCGAGGTCCTTACCTGGTTTACTTACCTGGTTGGGTTCCCTTCGCTTGGTAGTCTTAGGAAAAAGGGCTGGTAAGGAAGGATAGGAACCCTGTCTCATAAGACACGCCAGTTCAAAACATGCTATACAGTTGTTCCAGTTTGGCAACGTAGATCACAAGAATGAGAACTGGAAATGTGTGTCTGCAGTATGACAGGCAATAGATACATTTCATGTTAGCGATAATACATACAGAGAATACCAATATAACGAGCGATTTTACAAATATTCTACGAGTTTGTCTGGGATATGCTGCTCAAGACCCCTCTTGAAGGACTGGATGTCCGGAGCAGTAACAACAGATTCAGGGAGGCTGTTCCAGAGGTTAACACATCGTTTGGAGAAAAAGCGCTTACGTACATCAGTGCACGAACGGGTCACATAAATCTTACGACTGTGACCTCTGGTGACGCTGCTGTCGGTTAGAGTGAACATGGAGTCTGGACTTATACAGCTGTGACCATTCACAATCTTCCAGTACTGGATGAGGTCAGCCCTAGTCAGCCTTCCCTGTACAGAGTAGAGCCCTAGCCTGTTCAGTCTCTCTGCATAAGTTAAGTCTGATAGTGACTCCACGCGCTTAGTCCATTGCCTCTGGACACGTTCGAGTTTCCGAGCATCCTCCACGTAGCCTGTGTTCCAAAGACACGAACCATATTCAATAACTGGTCTGACGTGGGTCTTGAAAAGGAATGTCATAAAATCAGGATTGCGACACACTCCAGCCGACGTCGGGCCGACGTCGGACCGAGATCAATTGCTGAGGTTCAGCCGACGTCGGGCCGACGTCGGGGCGACGTCGGACCGACATCGGCCGCTGTTTTGACCGTTAAAATAATATAAAATACATGTTTCATGTTGTATAAAGAGCTGTATTCAAAATATCCTCAGGAATCTCAAATCTTCCTCCACGCCGCAACCCCCTGATCCGGACTGGACGGGGAACTTTATCCCATTTGGGATTGCCCGTAAGCCGAGCTCGCCCGTAGCCGGGTGCGGTGAGTGCTTGGGGGCTGCTCGGCCTATCCTTTGGTCAGGCTCAGCCCCGGCAACTCACCAGGGCCGGGCCCAGTTCATATAGAAAGGCCAGTCGGCAAGTGTCACTTTGCCAAAGTGCCACTTATCAAAGGGACACTTTGGGAAACGTTGGTGCAGGTGTGTAAGAGTGGGTATATGAATCCATTGTGGGGTCGCCCTTTCCAATAAATGTCACGTACCAGCAATGGGACCAGGGACTCTATATGAACTGGACCCAGGGTGCTCGCCAAGAAGACCAATGTCTCCATCCTATGATCCTTCCGGCTCTGAAATGGTCTTGTCAGACCGAAAGGGCATAACCCAACAAAACAAACCAATTTCGTTAGCTGGCTGCGTGGCGTAGTGGTTAGCGCACTAACCTCGCATTCGAATGACACGGGGTTCGAATCCCATCACCGGCTGGTGCTTTTGGCGTGTTGTCCCAGTAAACATGCCGACGTCGGCGACTGGGGGGCTCGAATCCCGCCGCCGCCGGTTGATATTTTTAGCGCGTTGTCCCAATAAACATGCCGACGTCGGCCCCGTCGGTCTAACGGCAAACGATCTCGTCAACCTCGGCAAACGATCTCGGCCCGACGTCGGCTCGACGTCGGCTGGACTTCGGCTGGACGTCGGAACATGCGGGCATATCCGACGTCCAGCCGATGTCGGGCCGAGGTTGAACCGACGCTGGGCCGACGTCGGGCCGAGCCTCGGCCCAACGTCGGGCCGACGTCGGCATGTTTACTGGGCTATTGGTGAAGGATATGTGAATTGTTGGGCTGTGCTGTCTGTGTAATGTGTGCTTCAACCAGGATAGTTCCCCACATGACTTGCATTTCTTTTGAATTCCTTAGACCAGAACTCAGAGGAAGAGACTTTGTCAATGGAGACTTTACCCCCTCCGAGCTGAAGTCTGTTTTATGGACTGCTGTTGATTTGAGGGACAGGTCAACACAAAAGAATGAGGTCAGTGTCTTTCATATAAATTTGCTTTATAGTTTTTCATTTTGTGTCTTTTCATTCAATAATTATCCTCATGCTGAAGTGCTTGAGTTTCACTGAAGATAAGTTCCTTTACATTTTGAGTTTTATATCTTTCTGTCTTGAAATAAAATCAATGAAGCATTAAGTTGTTGCTTTGGCATTTCTCTGATTGCTTGGCATGTTGGACAACTGTCAATGTTTCAGATGGTGCTGATTTTCATTCTTTTTCAGAATTTCTCCTACATGAGAGGCAAATCTGTAACCATTCTTCAGGAGTCAGGAATGCCAGATACACTGAGCAATGTTGCATTGGTAACAGCAGCACATAGACTCGGTGGAAATGTTGCAAGAATGGCATTTGACTCAAATAAAACAGATGTCTCAGATTTGGCAAAGTAGGTATGCATTTCACATCTTTTGCCTGAAATTTAGCATGGATGTTTGCTCAATCAGTTCCTGCTTACAGCGCAGGGCTCAAGCTTTTCGGGTGACCATTACTGTGAAGGTATGTCACAAAGCAGGCTTGGATCATTATGAATCTTGCAACTTTCATTCTCACAGTCGTCGTAGACACGCTTCGAAGTTCAGGTTCTAATGTCCACTTCTCCCTGCCTGCAGCTGTCTCTCGGAGGTATCGTCGGTGATCGCCGTCAGCTGCCGTCACCAGGCAGCGCTGCAGGCGGCCGCAGATGGCGCTGCTGTGCCCGTGGTCAGCCTCGGCAGTGAGCAGCACGACCCGCTGACGGCTCTGGGGGAGCTGCTGGCAGTGCTGGAGCACTACAGGTGAGTCGCTGAGCTGCGTGGCGCCCCTAAACGTTGGGATACTGGTAATTTCAGGATGTGTACCCTGTGTTGTCTTTGATATGACTGTAGCCTATATTGCATTCTTATCCACGATGAAATATTAAATGTCCCTGCAACGCTGCCATTCATGCGGCGCCTAGGGCCTGTTCTATCATCTATCAGCCACTCGGCGCCTACATGTTTGATTCCGACTCCGTAGCCGTGTGTTTCAAGCTTCTGTTTTTCATCAGCAATCTGAAGCGTCTGTCTTTAGCCTGGGGCTAAATACTGGGAATAAATATGTGTCAACACTTGTCACTGTTTCTCCAGCTACCTGAAGCGCCTGACTCTGGCCTGGGTGGGCCCATGCTGCGCCCGGCTGAGGTCCTTCCTTCAGCTGCTGCCTCCTCTGGGAATACACCTCCGCTACTGCTGCCCTCAGGTGAGTAGACGAGTACGACAGATCACTTACGCCAGTCGAATGAGGCGAACTGAAATATGTGGATTCCGCCCTGGGATGAGAGGATCTCATGAATCCGAGAAGAGGCTACGATTATGGGATGACAGAACACTTCTATGCGCTATACACTGTGCAGCGATACTGTTTAATCAAATCACAATAGCAATCAACATAACGTCAAACGATGCAACCATGCCCACGCAGAGCACAAATAAGAAGTGTGTTATAAAGCATTGCTATGATTTGATTGGATTGTTTCAGGCTGCGTGTCTATCTAGCCTGTCAACTGATATCTTGCAGAAATATATCCGGCTCTGATTCTTGCTCCTCTATTTTCGCCGTCATTTTGTTTGAGAAGCTAGGTACCAGTGAATTGACATAAAAAAACACAACAGAAACGCGTTACGGACCGCCGGTATGACACATCATTTTTGAAGCACATGCCTTTTTTGAAGAGGCTATAGATTCCACATGAACCTTAGACTTAACTCGGTGTGGTACACAGCAATAAAACTGCTGATGGCGACCAGGAACGCGTCAACAACATATTGACGTTGTCTTTAAGCATGTGATTAATATTGTCCGTGGCTGCCAGCGATTATTTTCCTGGTGATATACCGCCATTTGGACCCGCCTGAAACTGCCGCTCCGGCTCACATGGCCCCGCTCCCCGCTGTTTTCTTCAAAATCGTAGCCATCGAATTTTTAATGCATCGACGATAAATTATTTTGCAACATTTTTCTTTTATATTTTGATGTTCATTCGAAGATAAATCATCTTTCGGATAGTACCAACGAGGCTTATTTGGAAATCAAGTTTCATAAATCACATTGCAGTTTTTTTTCTGCTCATCTCAAGTAGAATTTGGTAAATAGAACGCCATCACCTATCAACCGCGTAGTGCTCTGTAAATGCATGACATGCACAACGAACACACTAATAAGTAATAAGTACATCAGTGTGACGTGTGTCCAACGATTGCGCTTATGACGATTGGTATCTTCGTCTCTTGATTACATCTCCCGTCGACGATATTTGCAAATAAATAAACAAACAAATTATTGCCCGATCCCCACTAGATCCACTGACGCAATAATCGCGTCGGGCCGTGTAACCAGAGCCGGCGTTATCCCTTTGCTGACGTCACTGGGTATATGGGAGCAGGCGGACGGGTGGCCGGCACCTGCCCCTGAGCCTGGTCCGGAACCCCGACCGGCCCCGGGATCCTGATCTCTGCCTCAGCGGCGCGGCGGCCGGTACATTTATGTGACAGGTGCAGCGAGGGAGAGACTTTTCTCGCCTGGTCTGTCGCAGACATCTCGTTAGCGCTATAAGTACGCTGACGTATGGCGGTGGCCAGACAGTCGGGGTGCTGGTAACGGGATGACGATTCTGTCAGTCTGCTGCCCATTTGAACGTCAACATGTTTAAAAGTTTCTCAGTTGACAATGGTTCTCACTTTTCGCCTTTTCAAGTCGAATGCGTTCCTTTCACCGTGGTAACACGTCAACCTACCAGTGATTCTGAAGCGATCGATTTTGGGCTGGTATCAGCAAGGCACCATTTATGTTAACCGAGCACAGTAAATCATGTATCTTGGCGCCTCTTAACACTCACCATAATCAATATTTAGTCAGACGTCTTTAGCATTAGATGTTACTTTTCTCTTCATGTAACGAGCTGTGTCCGGGGTCCGTATGATCGGTACCTTTGTGTCCGTTTGTTTTCTGACCGTCAATCCCTATGTCCGCACTTACTTTGTGTCCACTGATCCTGTGTCCCCTGAGCCGATCCTTTGTCCGTCAACACCCATTTCCGCGCTGACCTGTCCCTGTATCCATCAGGAAGAGGACCTGTCCCCAGAGGAGCTGGGTGACCTGGTGGGGCGCACAGTGCAGCACCACACCCAGTTCAGTCGACACGAGTCGGCCGCTGAGGCCACGTACCGAGCGCACGTGCTTGCCACCACGTGCCACCAGTACGACCAACTACAGATTACTGAGAAGGTGAGGAACGGAGGGATGGGTGATAGGATGAGGTGGGGAGGAGAGATGAGGGTTGGGATGGGTAGGGAGGGGTGGTGATAAGTCATGGAGATAGGGGAATGACTTGGATGGATAATTCGGGATTTTGGGTGTGCGTATGTGTCCCCTCCTTACTAAAAGCTCACCATGAAATATATGCGATTGACTCTCGCTAGAGGTTAAACTGTTTGCCTAGTCGATGCTCCCCTGAATACTCTGGAGTCATGTAGGATTGGAGTGAGATGAGAGGATGAGTAGGAAATGTGATAGAAAGGCATGGAAGGTAAACTTGGTTGGGAAGTAACTACATTACAATATCGATCGCCGCTGCACAGCACGTCATTTGGCGTGAAGTAATAATTATGGTTTCCCATTGCTGTTGCGTAACCTGTTCACGTAACCTGGCTGTTCACGCTTTTCATCCGTTCTGCGTGTGACACATTCGCCCGTACTCCCCACGGCTCAATGGAGCCACCACCAGTTGACGTGCCGTCACCGCCAGCGCGGCGCGGACCGGTGCCGCTAATGCTTAACGGACCTGTCGAGCGCGTCACAGCGGCCATAATCGGGTTACGAGCGGGGCGTGCTCGGAGACAGGCGGGTCCCTGGCGGAGCGCGTCGGCGACTCGACAACGTCCCCGTACGCCGCGCTGTTCAAACTCGCGTCGCGCTGTCCCGCGCCTGTGGTGTGTACTGTTGGAGAGTGGTTACTTATCTAACCAGTACCACTGTGTTCCAGTGACCACCTGTGTATCTGACTGCTGACTGACGTGTTCTCCGCCCGCAGCACGCGGCCGAGGCGGACCTGGACTGGACGTTCGTACAGGACCTACCTGTCAGCCGGTCAGCGGTGGCGGCGGCGGTGCACGGAGACCGGCAGCGCTCGCTGGTAGCTGCCTCCGCCGGCTGCCGCCACTGGCTAGCCACAGCCCTGCTCACAGAACTATGTGCAGAACATGAGAGGCGCACGGATAGGCCGGACTTTGAGGGGGAGCGGCGTGGTGTGGGGATAGGGAGCGGCTGAGAATGGGCCGATTGGAGTTGAGGACTAGCGTGGTTAGGGATAGGGAGGAGGATGGACTGAGACACTCTGATAGGATATTAGTGCGCCCGAGCGAGTGACGTGGCTATTGCCGCTTCGTGTGATGTGCTGGGAAGCTATCACAAGACACCAGTAATTATTGACAACACTTTACCGCTGCTAAACTGATGTGGCGACTGTGGAGGACGTTCTGTCGATGTTTTGTGGATTGGGTTTTGTCGTGGGACGGCGGTGACGTGGCTGAACGTAATCATGCTTATGATCCTCATGAATGTACAATGACTTGCGTTGCGGTGTTAACTGTAATAACGACAGTATATTTGCGTCTCAGACGCAGTACAAACTACAAAATACCGACTTTCAGAACCAGTGTCTTTGCCTAATAAATAACCAGTGAAAATCACGAGAAGTTTTGATTAAGATTTTCGTTGGTATAGAATCGCCGCTGGATGTTGGATAGGTGGATGGTTTTCTCAGCTTAGCTACATCAGCTACATCAGCTTATATCATTTCAAGTGTACTTGTGCGAAGAATGACGCATCTGGAGCCGACCCTGAAAAAACGCGGCCAAAAATGCGAAGGGTTGGCCTGAAATTGTGGGGAAGATGGCCGCTTCATTATGAAGTTTAATTACTCTGCCAAGAGATACTCCACATCTTGTCCACATTTGACGGTAACTACGTTTCGCAAGGCACTATGACGTGTCAAGAGTTGTCAACGTTTTAGTGTCATCAGCTCGGTCGCAGCTTTTCCCGTACGTTGACCCCACTCGTTCTCAAGCCCTGCTCCTAATTAGCAGCCAGCTTTAAGTAGAGCAAGTTGAACGTTCGCGGAAAATTGGATGGTGCTGTCAGCGGCGGCCGATCGACATTTGTGGCCCGTCTTCGTCTGTCGTCTTCAGGCCAGGCCACACGCTGCTGAGTGCTGGGGGCCGGGGAAAGACGCAGATTACGAAACTGAATGTGACTACATATCTCAGTAGTCAGTGATGTGGATTGGGTGCACTATTTTCCTTCCCGCCGCGACGGCTAGCCGAGGCTCAGACGTGTCATCTCAGTTCAATGATTTGTCGATCTGCCTGATGGATTCGGAAAGCTGATTGAGGATGAATCACAGTTGAGGCTGCCGTGGTCCGATATTTATTGTGTCGCGATCATATTACAATTTGTTTGCCACTCACGCCTCAGATCCAGGCGCTCCCCGGCTGAGCATCGGTCCTCTACAGTCCGCCGCGTGCCCTGTGCACCCGTCGACTGTCGTGAGTCGTGAGTCGTGACCGCCGCCGAAGCTCGGTGAGTCCGTGACGAACGACTACCGCCCGCCAGCACCCGTCAAAAACACCCAAACACGGTCAGAGCCGCCGCGTCCGGCCGGCCACCCTCAGGGAAGCGTTTGTCATTGTCCCCTGCCGCGCCCTCCCCCCCCCCCGCCCCCGGAGCGCGGTGGGGGAATGGAATAAACGGCCCGATCGTGCACAGGTTGCTCCCGATGACCGCTTCAGATAGGAGCCGGTGTTTTGCATTGTGATGCAGGTGGCGCCGCGGCGGCTTTGGTCGGGTGCTCTCTGCAGAGGTGTTCAGGCGACAAATATGGGGAGATGGTGGCAGTCTCACAGGCCGTGCGAGGTGGGTGGCCCGGCCACCCGCCGGTAAAATGGTCACCGCAACTGTCATGGACTATTAAAATGAGAATTTATGAAACGCTCGGGATCCTTTTACCTTACAGAAGAAGGGCGGCTAACAAGTAATTGTCTAAAACGCATAGCATTATACCTAATTGAAATAGGCCCGAACACAAAACGAGCAAACATGACGGACTTAATGACAAGACGAATCGCTGAACTTGCAGTTAGGACATTTCTTGTATCCGTGCAGCCACACCACGTAAGCCAGGGGGTGCTAGATGGCGATCGAAATAATCAAATTAATCAAATTCTACTAAAAATATTGTCACACCCTTTAATCACATTATACCAAGGACTGTCGTTCCTTTGTCATGGCCTTTATTTTTCAGAACCGAAACTGTTGAAGGGTTATCGCGCCATCGTCAAAACTGAGCACAATTCTCCCTATACCTCCTAAGTCAAAACAGTCTTACTTTAGTTTCTTTACTTACAACTACGTTCGTGCGCGCACTGCGTTCCCGTCTAGATGTTCGTGCCGTAGCAGCGTGCGCCGTGCAGCGATCCCCGGGGACGATATCGAGCCGTTGTGGAAGTGGTGTGTCGTGCTGAATTGACTGAGCCGGTGGAAGGATCACTCCGACCCGGACCTGGGGCACGCGGTTGAGTTCGCCGCGGGGCTGGAGCCGCTCAAATTCCGAGCCCGTAAAAGGCTTCAATCACAGAACCATTAAAACACGGATTCTTCGGAAGTTGAGACATTCTGATACTGAATTACCTGATCTGCCACCCACAGATTAATTGTCACACCGAGGACACACGCGTCCCCATTCCCCAACATTTGTCGCCGTGATCAGAGCCTCAGTCATCGGGATGTGAGGGTATGGGAGACGGCTCTGTGCGGCAGATGGTAGCGGCTTTCCTTGTCTCGGATTACGGCTGTGTTCCAAATGCGGGCTCCGCGAGCTTTTTATCCCGGCCGACCATGTCGATGGACCTGTATCATATTCCTCATCAGAGCTGTGTAGTCAGAGTCGGAGTCGGAGTCGAAGTCGGTCGGAGTCGTAGTTGGAGTCGCTAAAATCTTACCGATTCCGACTCTGGAGTCGGAGCTATCGCTGTATGGTTTGACATCATGCCCTGCACCTGTTTGCTTGACGATACTACGCTTGCTTACCTTTCGAAATAGGTAAGATTTTGTCGAAAAAAGGTCACATTCCTGTTATGAACAAGCGTTTTTAGCAGAAGAAGCAGAAGACGGCGGATTCGCTAGAACCAGCGTTTAATTCTGCATGCTCTTCATAAAGCAAATGTGCAATGTAAGGCCTTGGAATGCACAAAGGATCGTTTCAGGCAAAATAAGATGGTATCCACTATGACCTTTATAATCCTGATGTGGATTTAAGGGAAACGGCCGGAATCGGAGCTGGAGTCGGAGTTGGAGTCGGAGTCGATTTTTTGAAGCCGGAGTCAGGGTCGGAATTATCCCAAAATCTATCGACTCCGCAGACCTGTTTCTCATATACTCGTATGCAGATTGTCTCGAAATTTATTCTGAGTTCCTTTGTACCTACTTCCTTTCCTTCCTTGCTTCCTTACCTACTTTCCTTTCCTTGTACCTACTTCCTTCCTTACTACGTGTCCGCCGCTGGTAGCCGACTGTTTCTCGCCCTATGTCCTCCGCTGGTAGCCGACTGTTTCTCGCCCTATGTCCTCCACTGGTAGCCGTCTGTTTCTCGCCCGTGTCCGTCTCTGTATCCGCCTTCCACAGCTGACACCGTCAGCGTTCCACGAGGCCAGTTCCGCCCCAGTCTGGTTCGAGTCGCGCTGAACCGTCCATCGCTGCACGGCCCGGGGTCGACTGACCTCTCCTCTCTCCGGACACCCTCCCTCTGTAGGCCTCTCTCTCTCTCTCTCTCTCTCTCTCTCTCTCTCTCTCTCTCTCTCTCTCTCTCTCTCTCTCTCTCTCTCTCTCTCTCTCTCTCTCTCTCCCTCCCTCCCTCCCTCCCTCTCCCTCTTTTACCGTACGTACCTTCTCAATTCCCAATTCCCTTCTCGTTTGAGTGTTGACATCAGCTTGACGGAGTGGGACGAGGAACGAATTCAGCCCTATTCCAGTCCATTGCGGTGACGACTTTGTCCTTAGTGCAGCACGCAGGTGTGTTGAGCTCGCGAAGATGCAGTGCGATTGATCTGAGACCCCACTGTGTGACCTCCGCGTGACCGATGATCTCATTGCGTGACCTGTGATGACCTCTAACTACGTGTGACCTACGTTCGAGCGAAAAGTGGCTGCGACCCTGCAACTGTTCGGCTTAGGATTCATCGTGATTACGAGCGAGCGAGCGCAGCGAGCGAAGCGAAGTCTTTTCAATATAACGGAAAAATCTCAGTGTGAGCGGCCCGGCCCGGCCCGGCCCAGCCCGGCCCGGCCCGGCCCGGCCCGGCCTGTAACGCTTTTGAGAGGCTTATATCTCAGCAACCGCTGGACCGATTGGCCTGCGGTCTTTTTTGCTGGGTAGCCCCATCCCTTCTACCCCGTAATTGACTACTTTTGATACATCTCAGTGACCGTCGTGGCACGTGCCACGTGAAAAGTCAAGGGTGTTCAAGCAGTTTTGCAAAAGTAGTGATTTTGAGAGGTCCATATCTCAGCAGCGGCTTGAGTGATTATCTTGCGGTAATTTTTATAGGGTAGCTGCATCCCTTCTACCAAAGGTCGGATACTCTTGATCTATGTGAGTGACCCCCACTGCACGTGCAAAATGCAAAAAGAAGAGGTGCCAAATTTGTTCCCATTTCAGTAACTCGGTAACTACTGGGGCGATTTCGCTGAAACTTGGCATACAGGTAGGCACTCAACAGGCAATGCATTCCCATGTGTTGCCGTTAGGGTGCTACTGCACGTGCGCACGTGCAGGGGGCGTTTCCAGATCTCGAGAACGGCTGGGCCGATGGCGCTCAAATTTGGTACACGGTTGGGGACCAGTTAGTAGGGTGCCGTGCAAAAGTCATTTTGGACCCCGTTTGCACGTGCGCACGTGCAGAATGCCGCTTTCAGATCTCAGGAACGGCTGGGCCGATTGCGTTCAAATTTGGCACACCGCTAGCGATCGGTTAGAAGGGTGCTTTGCACAAGCCCGTTGGAAGTACCCTCTCTCCCTTCCGCACGTGCAGGGCTCACTATCTCGCTCGCTCGTTCTTCGCCCAAAAGGCGTTTTACTGGTTATACAGCGAATGCATAAGTCGTCCACCCCAGAAGTTTTGAGACTGGGCTCGTAAAGCCCCTATTAACAGTGCTAGATACTGGTCGTTCTCACAGGTCTTTACCATAGTTGTCATAAACGTACTTGCGTAATTTTGAACGATGTTGTTTTTTAAGTAAGCTTATGTAATGTAGCTTACTCGTACATACGAATGAGCTACTGAGATGATTCGACACGCTACTTAGCCGATCAAGAAGGGACTGGAGAGCTGCCCACTGCTCGTCCAAGAGGGACTGGGAGGTCTGCCCGGCCAACAGGGGACTGGTGAGGGCTGCCCAGCCAATGAGGGGACTGGTGAGGGCTGCGGGCTGAGCAAGGTGGGAGTCACGGACGACGCTACCCTGTGACCCGCCGACAAACTAGCCCGATAGGGATCGGTATTCGGCGGGCTCATTGGAAGGCAATCTGACTGGGTGTAAGGGCCTGTACTCTGTGTCTAAGCAGGGATTACATCTCGTCCAGAGAGCAAACGAAGAGGAATGGGTGTCAGACTCAAACATGCAACAGTCGTGGCAA